TACATCACATACTACCTATATGACCCTTCACATACCCGAAGGGTGGAATGCCACTCGCCCCACCCGTTGTGAGTGGCCCTTGAGCTCAGCAATGGGCTCTTCTTTCTCCAGCGACCACAGATTAACCGATCCATCATGCCCACACGACGCCAAGTTCACCCCCGAGGCTGTGTGTGACACGCCTGACTGCGGGTGCCAGGCAACCCACCCCACCTGTGCCTCATGGCCTGCGATACACACATAGGCCAATGCACACACAAAGGGCTTTTTAGTATAGTGATAGGGCTTGGGTTGTGTTGTCTGTAGAGTTGGTGTGGATGGATGTGATTGATACACAAAACTATAGGCAGAGCTTGTTAGTATAGTGATAGGGCTTGGGTAATGCTGTGTGTAGGGTTTATATGGATAAGTTGGCGATCGAGTACGGAGCAATATGGATGATGAGAAATACGGATACGTACCCGAAGCTGTGCAACCCACCCCACTTGTGTGCTTAGGGGCCTGTAATACAAGAAACATCTCCATAGATTGTTCGGATCGTATAAAGGTATATAACATATGTTCTGGGTCTGTATGTATAGATTTGTGATAGTAATGATATAGTGTCGAGAGATCTTTGTGTATGGTTTACGCCGAATGTGGCTACAATAAGCCTGACTGTGAACGTCGCACAACAACCTTCACTTGACCGTAACTGTACTTCCGATTATATACAAGGATGTCAGTCACATACAACATAGACCGATCGAGTATCGTGCGTATGTATGCATATGTATGCATATATATATATATATATATATATATCCCTAAGCCCCTAAAACAACCCCTTTCCCAACGCCCATACCTCTTAACCGCGATGTTTGTTTACAGTTGCTGTCCCATAGCGTGACTGCGCCTGACCAATCCGAGACAGCTATCCTTGTACTGTCGGGCGAGAACTGTGCACACGACAACGGCCTGCCTGCGCCGATCTGTGAGTATTGAAATTTATCACCACAGTATCAGCAGTTGTAGCCGTAAATACACTAAGTTACTACACCACAGCATGTGAGTATGTTTGGGTCAGCATGCGTAGCTATATGGCTCAGTCATAGGTTGGGAAATAGTGTTTCAATTCATGTGCATCCCGGACATGTTTCTCACTTCGAATACATACTGAGTGTATATAAAGTATGTGCAAACTTACCTGGGAGCTGTATGTCGTAAAATTCTTCATGCTCTCGTGTAGTTTTTGAATATGTAGGACGGATGTTTTCCCCTCCGACGCCACTCGTTCCTTTTCTATTCTCTCTTTCGCTCTGTCCAACGAATAATAGCAAAAATTCAGTTGAAGGTTTCATCGACATACTGGTAGTAGGAATATACATGAATAAGTATGTGTACTCCTACTATGTCCTCATTTCTCCTCATATTTTGCGTACAAACTTTACATGTAAATATATGTGTGTGTGTGTGTGTGTGTGTGTGTGTGT